TGGTCACGACTTCTCACTAGAATTCCGAGAGTTCCCTTACGAATCTAGACAACAAAGAGCATGTGGAACTTGTCAGTGTGTTTTGGAGATTGTAAAGTTTTTGACTGAGATCATGAAATGGCCATCTAGTGCATGCGGATTTTTAGTAGTTGTCTGACATTCATCGACTCATGATCTCAATCAAAAAGGTTTATTGGAAATTCGTTTGTCTATAAAAATGAATGAATAAATGGTGTTTAAACTAAAATGAACAGTATCATCAACTAAAACGGAATTTTAAAAATATCCAAACTTAAACAACACACATGGATCAATTGGAGTTAGACATTAATACTGTTGGATGCCAGATCACTGGTATGGAGGCTAAGCGTTTGCACGGAGACAGAAATTTCTAGGTCCGAGTCTCGTGTGACGGATCGTGTACGCGCACTTTTGAGTCCAATACTAGAACAAAATCACCGTCCAACGCTTTCAGGTTCTCAATGACGGTCTAACTTACATCGACTCATCTATTAATGTTCAAAATTGTTTAAAACATCATTTAAAAGTATATTTATTGTTGTGATCCAAAGGTCGGTGAAAGTCAAGAGCTAAGAAACTTCAAGAGAAAAAGACGTTTTGTGTAAATAAGTTTATTCAGAAAGCTCTAAGGTCTATTACCTCTTCTTTGTCAAGTAAATGGTAGTACACAAAACTTCGAAGATTCATTTGTTCTGACTTTGTTTCAAGTAGATGAAAGAATGCTGAAATTACTACAAACTTATTCCATAACTTACTTGTTTACGGTCGGATATGCTCCAGAAAACAACGATGAGCTTGCTAGGTTGCTTTTTCTCTGAATAACCTATTTAGCTTATGAATATACACAGGAGCGACCGAACTAAACTGCTTATCTCTGATTTGGATCAGCATCTAACGCATAACGTTGTGACTGAAAATGTCTGATTATATTATCCTTCTTGGTCTAGAATTCGATACTTATATAATTTCATATTGTTGGATCGTTCAATGGTAAATAACACTAGTTTCCGTTTATCGATTTCCGTTGATCAACAACATTGAACGCATGACAATTATCAACGAACATCGGATCATCAGCGATAAGCCTTCAATGAAAGGATTTCGAAAGACAAAACTATTGATCAACAGAGAAGCTGTTTTACAGAACAAAGCTAAATAATGAAAATTTATGGCAAAAAGCAAACAATATTACAAATCACTTAGAGTATAAACGAGAGCAAAATCTAAGCTCTGTAGAATGGTCAAATATCATCTCGATAAATACGTGAACAATTATCCAGGGTAATACTTTGTTGAGTGTCATTTTTCTAAGTAAACTATCAGATTTTACCATGTATTTCATGCAATGATTATATCCAGGACATACATCACATCAGTTTTCCAATTGATTTATGATAAGACAAATCCAGATATGTTGACTAATAAGACATTCCTGAATACTATCTACTTCTTAAGATTGTAGTGGCTGGTCCTATGTCGAGCACACATGGGTTATTCAAGCCTCTGGACAGACTAACCTATTCATTCTTCTTAAATCACACTTTGACCTTATCGCTTATTCCCTTTTCAACCTTGACTACTTTTATTTAAGAGTATGTATGCACATTTCTTTTCATGCTCATCACATCCCTGCAACTTATTTTTGTCTGACAATAGATATTGAGTAATGCCCGATTGAATTGAGTTAGTTCACATGCCTTCTGAGATCCGTTTCTCTTCGCTCTCTCTTATTCGCTCCCTTCATTCCGTCACTCTGATTTCCTCTGCCTCTTGATTAAGTTGAGCTGACTAAAATGTGTTGACCACCGCATGTTAATTTGTTTTGCTTCGCTTCCCGATCAACGATTGCACGAAATATGAGTATTCGAAGATTCATTTTCGTATTTAACTTGATTCATTCGTTATTCCCCAACACGATTTAAGTCGATGTCTATAAGTGAGGATTAGCAGCGCGTATATTTTGATAGCAATCGTTCCATAACAAACACCCATCTAATTTAACTAGGATCAGATACTGCAGGGTCACTAAAAGATATTAAGGTATACTGTTTGAGTCTGGTAGTAAGAATAAGTACCACATTCTTCACACTAATTACACCTGTTACCCCTCGTTGAGGTATATAGTTTGCTAACAGCATTCTTTACATCACGTCATGCTTATATAAAACTGAAATCAGTACATAGATGTAGGTGATAAATCTTGATATGCTTTGGAATCTAGTCAGGCTGTACTGAAATCGAGAAAACCTAAGAATGTACTACAATTTTCCCTTCTTGTTGTTGTTATTTTAAGCCACAGGTGTAAGTTGGTCAAAAGTAAACGGTGTAAGTCAATATTGATATTTTGTCAAAATCAACGGATCTAAAATTGTATTCTGAAGGTGATTACACAATCTGTGACATTACATAGTCGGGTCCGGGTTAACATTAAGGGAATATCACATGTAAAAGATAGTGATAAGAAAGTATATTGCTTGAAGTTACACATGTCATAAAAGCATCTCCAACTAGATGAATGCAATGAACAGAACAATAACACCAAAGCTCTCTGCAATAGGCCTGTTATCAATCGTCTCACACTTCATTATTCTTGCATGTCCCTAACAAATGCTTAATGTTCCCATTCTTTCTTCTTCGATCTTCTTGACCTCCTGCTAACAGACATTCTTTTCCTCGCTGGAGTTATATACTACCTATAACGATATAAGTAGTGTGAAGCACACCAACTAGCACCTCACTTAGCGGTGTTGCCTGTAGAACAGTGCCCTCAGCCCACCTCCTGGTTTTTAGCGCCGCCATATGTAGTAAATGGAAACGCAAGTGGGAACAATCGAGTGTGTTTGGACACAAAATTACAGAATCTCTTAATAAATTCTGAGATCCATACAGTAAATAGTTCATTCGTAAAATGTCAATCGATTGTCTCAGACTTCATTGTTCTTTCATTTCCACACCAATCATGCTATGTTATCGTTCTTTCTTCTTCAATGATAGCTTTACCTCAATGGTTCTGCAAACGAGCTTTTGTCGGTGGATCTTAAAGTCTCTCATCAGAATCAACTTTATTACAAAATGAAATGTTATAATCACCATCCGATTTCATAGCAACTTACTTTATTAAAATTGAATTCAGTCGATTATATTCAATTTAAATCTTATCATTCATTTGTAGCGTGGCGTCGAGTTGAGATTAACTGTGAACACCGCTACCAAGAAACACGTGCCAGATAAATCAGAAGGCGAGGATTGAACGTAACCAGATTTATTTCGTTGGCGATCTCGTGGTATTGAACGAATACCGAGATCGTGCCAAGAAAAGGTACAAGCGAAAGCAGAAGACAGGAGTACGTGCGAACAGTACCAAAAACCGCGGAACAATGATGGAAGGTAATGGAAGCACAAAATGGCTATAATTAGCACAGTTAAACAAAAGCATATTAAAACAAACACTGGTACAGTTGGTTGTAATAATAATTGTTTTTATTAAACCAGTCGTGTTCTCGTGATAAACGTGAGTCACTACACATTTAACATTTACATTTGATTGTCCTCTTAAGTAACTTATTTCTTGTCATATGATTTTCATTACTAATTAACAAATTAGGTTAATACTAATTCATTAACTGATTGTTTAATAACTAAATGACCGGGATTCAACGAATGATCTAATCTCCTTTATGCTGTCAGTGTTTAAGGATTCTTATCTGAATGTTTGTTTTTATGTAGCTACGTGAAGTTGTTTAGTCATTTTGACTAATGTAGCAGGGGGCGGGTTCGTGGATGCGCACTGCTGAGGAGTCCCATACTAGGACGAAACGGCCGTCCAGTGCTTACAGGTTTTCAGTGGTGGTCTAGCTTCAACTGACTCATGATTTTAACCTGTGAGATTGAGAATGGTCTATTTTTTGGGTGCATAAGAATGTACTATTGAAGAATATGAGAGTTTCTTTGCTTTTGATTTGAATACATTTCATTTTGCCTAAGAATCCTATTGAAAATGATCTTATAAATGTTTTGTACATGAGAATTTTCTTAAAATGGTTCATGCTAAATCATATTTGATTGTCCTAATAAGTGAGTGTTAGGTCCACATATTCTCAAGTTACAGAGAGTATTGTGGAGACAGACCTAATAAACCTATTTTGTAAATAGTTTTTGTTATCTTTTGCATTTATTTTGACAATTCTCACAATCTGTACATTTAATCGATTGCACCTGTTGTTTAAGTATATGACCTTGAATATTTGCATTCTTCCTTCCGTTTTTGAACCTCACATAGCATGGCTTTGTTAACTGCTCGTAATTAAATACACTATCACACATACGTCTCTTGTTCTACCGTGTTTGTGGATATGATAACGGAACGGTTAGTTAACTATCATCTCTATTTATAGACTGTCGTAAAATCCACATGACATTCTACGTTCTGATATACTACTGGAGTCATATCGTCTCATTGGGATTATTATTTATCTATAATTGTGGATTCTGGTACCAAAATCTACAAGAAACGCGCCAACTTGCTGATTTAAGTGACGTCCCTAAACTTTTATTTGTGTTACCATCTTATGCGTTGTTTATTGCTACATTAACTTTTGCATGCAATAACTTTATTGCTTTTTTTCGGTTAATTTACTTTTTGGTCCACCACAGTAGTGGCACAATTTCAAAATGCATGTTTGGAAGATACCCTGAAGATATGGGGTATGCATCTTGGTATTCTCTTTACATACTAAGTATGGATCTTCATTTGCATTTCTGAAGTTTCGGTTGGTAATTATCCATTTTTCCAGTTATATCACTGCGGAATTTTATATTGGGAATTGTCATGCTATAACGGGTCTCGGCGCATGCATTGTTGCTCTGAAAAAACATTAACTATTCATGATGCTCACTTTGGTTATTTTCGTGAGATTCTACTTATGTCAAAATCAACCAATCGGTGTTGTGCACACAATTCTTGAGATTGTTGGGTCGATATGACTGCCAATATATCTAGATGTTCTGCTGATTTGTTGGCGAGAGAATGTTCTTTCATAATCGACAATGCAGCTGAGCCAACGTTGTTCTTAGAATCTCAAGTAAGTTTAGTGATGTGTTCAGTTGTTTCTAACCCTATTTTTCTTACCACTATTTTTGGCTTTTTCTGTGATATTACAGGTGTCTGACTATATGGTCAACCAACAATTGGTTTAAGCAGTATCGTCTATAGCTAGAATGTTTTATATCCTTCTTGTTGGTCCTCTGACTCTGCTTACAATTAGTTTTATTCGTAAAACTTAACTCATTCACGTCTTATATTATGCATGTAATTCTTCGGATTTCGGTCATTATTTAAATTATGATAGATGGATGCAGTTACTAGTCTTTTTATCACCAACATGACGGTTATACAGGTGTTAGGGATGCTGAGGAATATACCAATCATTATCATGTTAAGTTTAATGATGTCCTTGGACTCTAAATGGGCATTCCCTATCGGCCATTATTTATTTCACTCGTTAAATATTGTACAGATGTTGTTTTCTATTTTTATGCTACGATGTGGTCTGTTTGGTTGGTATATAATCAGAGTATGTTTGAAATATAACGATTCATATCTCAGAGGCTGTGACTTGCGTTCTAGACTCAACTGGCTGGGCTAGACAGGGAGGCGGGACCAATCGGGAATCTAGGTCGTCCTTACGTGTCATTGATTCGATCGATAAATACGCGGCGCATCTAACCGTGCAGTCCACCCGTTACAACAACAGGACCAATTCATTTGACTGGAAGGTTGTAGGAACCGTAGTTAGAAGCTCAACGGAGTTGTTAAGATTTTTAATCCATTAATCGGCGAAACTATAATTTATGGACGAACTAACCGTATTTAAAATAACGAGTCACGAGTTATGACGCGAGGTTCATCCATACTTTTGGCTAAATAGAGTTTTGGCTGATGTCGGCTCGTGATGAAAACCCTAAATGTCATTTCTAATTGTAACCATCAACCGTAAATGAGAATTCTAATTGCCGTATAACCCTCATTTAACCCTAGTCAGCAGGTTTCCACTCTCAACGTCCCTTCAGTATCTCTCTCACCAAACCGGTTAAAGCTCGGGACATTTGCTTATTAGTAGTGTTTAAGCATTGAATATTTCCTCTTTAAAGCGTGGTTAACTTTAAAGTTGAACAGCGTAAAAACCTGTATCAATCAAACTTTGACAACTAGTGTCCGTTTTGTAGAAAATTTATTTTTGTGTACTTATCGTTTGTATGGATTGGTTTAGATTAGAGCAAATAGATAAATGTTTGTGTTTTGTACACCTAAATATCTCCTGATGATATTTGTTCATGTGCTAAAACGTTACTATACTACAATAAAATTCACGAAACTTCGTTCTCAGAAGTTGTAAGTCGTCAAAATCTGAAACTGCCATCTTACGTTGTGCATACACCTGGTCGAAAAATAGAAATGATCCTCTGGGTCATGGAACTGACATAATGTTAATCAGCATGACCAGTGACTGTCGTTGTTATAATTAAAAGGGGTTTTGATATCACATTGTTAATATCCTTGTTCTGAAATTCGGTCAGTCTTTGTTGATATTTTACTGCTAGCCATAATTCATCTATCGCATGGATAAAAATGAAGTTGTTTACTTATAAAAACTTTTAAAATGATTAAATGAAGCTTTCAGAATTTCGGATCTCATCCAATACATCCAAACCTGAACAGGTGGTTTACTTAGGGGGCCACAACCAGAACCTTTGACCTGAAGGTCCGATCCACAAGGCAGTGGAGCATCGTAAAGAGATGCAGTTTCATGGTAGCCGGTGCCCAACGATTGGTTCATACGCTCTTTGTTCCCTCAGGGTGCTGGAAGCCATGTGCTCCATCAGTTTGGAATCAGGGTTTTCCAACTTCGCTAGGTGGACTCCCCTTGTCCACCAACCCGGCTAAAGCGCCGGACATTCTCTTCTCGTCCTCTCAATTTCGTAAACAACACCCCCGCCACGAGAATGCAGTAAGCAGGACTTCCCTGGTAGAGGCTATATAGGCGTGGCCATGTGAGAGCATTTCGAGAGGGAGAGTCGTTCCAGGGCATTTGGGGGCTGACATCTAGTGGTTTGTATATTTGACTTCAATCAATTCACAATATCGTGCGAAAATCTTCCAGTGCATTTGGTTATTAACTATCTAGTAATCAACATGTTTGAACTTCACTGGGAGTTCAGAACGATTTCAGTAAGCGTATCAGCATTTCGTTCCGTATGTTTATGGAAGAGACCAAATTGATTTATCTTGATAGTAGTGAGTAGTCTGTACATTAGATTCCAGCTTTTTCAGCATTCATTACCATTGGAATAAAAAAATTGCAGAACATTCTTGTTTACAACTGTTTAGTCAAACTTATTAAGATTAATGTAACGTCATAGACTGTCATAAACTGAAATTTATTTTCATAAACGAGTGTCACATCTCGCTAGGCACATCGTTTATAAATAGTTTTCTTTTTTTGGAGAAAATTGTACAGAATATTAATTAAAACTGCAGTTTCTAAATGTCTTATAAATAGGTGTGCCAATTATTCTCGATCATTATCATGTGGTTTTATTACACTGGTTTCAAGAGGTATATCCTGGAGTTCTGGTGAGAAGTAGTGAGCAGTGGAGCTCAACCGGGTCAGTTGTGAAATAGTAACTCACTGGAGGCAATGGTGAATGTGTCGCTCGATTTCGTGGAATAGTTGAAACTGATAGTTCCTGGGTTCGAGTCCCACGGGGCGGGGTCGTGGATGTGCACTGCTGAAGAGTCCCACAATAGGACGAAACGGTCGTCCAGTGCTTCCAGGTTTTCCATGGTGGTCGAGCTTAAATTTGCGTCATGATCTCAACTGTTGAAATTACTACAATCTACACAAAACCCCTTCTGATATTAATAAGTTTAACATTGATTCTTCATACTGAATATTTGTAATTAGTCATAAAAAAAGAACTCTTCTTGAACTAGTTTGTCATCTGGTTAGTGCTTGTTATCAAAACATACTTGCAATTTTGAAAGAACTGATAGTTTCTGGTAGGTCAAAATCTGAGTTGTTGATTTTAATAGTTTGGAATGTTACTATTGAAATGTTTGAGCTCGGAACTTATTATTTGGTCTCTATGAGTTTTATTTCTAAAAGTTTACGTTTTCTCACTATTACCAATTAATATCTTCAGACATGTTTTCATCAATCGAGGTGGTCGAGACATTTGTTACGTGTGCCTAACCTTCATCTATCTTGGTGGAAAGTGTTAGCTCGTTTAGGAATAACCTGCAGGAAAGTTAGGGGTACTGGAACTAAAATGTGGTATCAGTCCACCAAGTTATTGGCTGTTGGACTGAGCCATATGGGTTGGTGCAGATTACCTGGTTGATGTCCACGCAATAACCGATCAGCGGTTGGCGACGACGGTTGACGTGGCTAATAACCGACCACGATGGCACATATACATTTACACTCTGTCCTCCTCTAGATCTGGAGTTTCATTATTCCGTCGTACGTTTTGCCATTCATTCTGCCTTTTTGAACTATGGTTTTAGTGTTTAGTCTTTTCATTATCATTCCTACTACAGTTATTTCAACTCCTTACCTATTCGTCTCGATTTGCCAATGGTATCTGGGGCCAACGAGCGTTTGTGCCAGACTTTAAATTGACTGTCGGACTATTGGTTTTATTATTATCATCATTATATTTCCATTTTACAAATGTTGTATCTCCTTCTAAATAGCTCATGTAACATGAATATCCAATGAAAATCATGTGGATCCTGAACAGATTGGTGGTTATTTAACCAGCTTAGATTATAATGAAATAGTAAAAAGTGGTTTAGAATGGAGAAGTCACTTAGCTGAGGCAATGTGTAATCCCAAATAAAATAATTTACCGCATTAGTTCTATTTACGGGCGCCCGAAATTGCAGCAACCAAATATTCAATTGATGATGATGATGATGATGATGATTCTTTTAGCAGCTACGGTGAAAGTGGTCATGGTGAAAATAATAATGATCGTCTACTGAACAAAGGCAATTTGGCTACATTTATATTATGGATAAAAGATATAGGTTTGACTAAATCAACCACAAATATGAGTGAGTTATATTGTTTTTTATTTTCATTCGTTTTATTCATTCAAATCATATTTGTTGCAAAAAGTTATCACAAGCAACGTAGAACTTAGCACAAGCGTATATCGGTTCAGCTTACCAGATCATATCAACGCAACAAGATGAAATTATCAAGATAAATCCCATCACTGTCTCCACTGATTGTGAGCCATGTTAACAATGTCTCCAACCATTAGTCACATTAGTCACTCTTATCTCAACCAGGTAGTTTACGCCCATCAAACTATAAATATAGTATGAGGAAAAGCCAATCAAAATCGAGATGTTAGCGGGACATAGACTGGATTAAAGCATGCTCAATGCACGATTGCTTCAGTGCGCGCTGATTGGCTTCCACCTAACCTTGTTTTTTGGAATACAATCTCTTTCCTGTTCAACCGTGTTCTGATTTGGGGACTTGTCGAGTGATTTGGTGTCCAAGACTACTAAGCAATAGGAATAGCTTGGTCATACCGTAAGAAAGAGATTATAACACTAGAACATGAGTTGTAGGTTTTTGTGCAACATTCATTAATCACGTATCACTAATATTAGACATACTTTTGTATTTAATCAAACTCATAACGAAATATCAATTCTGGCCACAGTGTAAATAACGAGAAAACCAACACTCCTTACATTCTAATCTTAAACCTTTAATGCTGAAACAAACATTCACTTATTGACACTATATTTTATGGCCTATTGCATGAATGGAATTCTGTCATCCATATTTGTATTATATCTGATGCAAACTCGTGACTGCCAGTCCTAACCACGAATATCTTACGCTAATCATAAATAATTTAGAGGTTTTTGAGTCATCCACAAGGATGGATGTATATGACTTTGATTTTTCAATTTACCGAGTAACTACTGTAATAATTTGAATAGATTTATCAAATGCACAGAATTTGTGTACACTTTCCAGTGCTATTGTTTTCTTTACCATAACCTATCCATTTACAAAAGCTGCTTTCTGATTACCTAGTAACTAACTGAAATTTCATCACAGTTGTTATAACTTCATTCATTATCGACGAAAGCTAAGAAAGAGGACAAAGAGTGATCTGTGTTGTTTACTAAATGCATTTCACTACATTTTCAATTAGTTTCATAATCAGGATATTATTTTGATCATGCTTAAATTATCGATATAACCTTTTTGTTCTGCTTAATTATTTGTTGTTTAGCGTAAATTTGCGGTTAGAACATTTAAAAGTTTGTTCTTAACATAAATATGGAGGTCAGTTACATATTGGATAACTCAATTGTAATATTTCTGACTGTGATATTGAGTTATGCGTAATATGTAACTTCTATTTGTTGCAATATCTAAGAAGTTGATGAGCTATGCAGTTAGTATTTCATAATTGATATAGCTTACCTGTAAGATTCCGTCTTTTAACGTAGGCAAGTATCATGTGACGGCAGGGATATCGACCCATCATAAACGTGCTACAATTGCATTGACAAATGCTTATATCCACTTCATAATGTTGTCCGCGGTCAACCATGAACAACCAGTCGCCGCTTTCATATTCCACGTAGACGAAACGCATTTGTTTAAGTTCGTATAACAATTTAGATCTTGCGAATGGGGTCAAAATGTTTAACAGGGGTATAAGACGCTGTGGAGCATTATATTTATAAGATCTTCCGACTATCACTTGATCTTCGATACTTCTTCTAGTTGACATCATTTCACTCCATTTTAAAGCCTTGTACATACATTTGTACAGACTATCACTTTTTCGTACATATCGTTTAATTTGCCTATTTAGCGATTCAACACGATTATTCGTGTTGTTACCCAATGTTAAAACATTACCGTAAAACGCACGCGCCCACATTGTCTTACGTGGCATCCAAAAACGTGATAGGTACTGGCCTACTATCACTCTGTCCCTCCGGTTTATTATTCTGTAATATTGATTAAATCTAGTGAATAAATACATTACAAAAATTACCTTCCGACCGTTTCCGCAGTTACCAATCGAGTTAAGTACGTTCAGTATTTTGTCGTTTGTCTAAGGGCAATTTTATATAAGAAACCATTGGTGTACCTTTTTCCGGAAAGCGCAAATTACATGAAAGGCGCACAGAATGATGTTTGCATGTCCGTGTGTTATACAGACAGTCGCGCTTTCACATCGTGCGCAATCCCTCACAAATGTCTCTGTCAACATTGTGTTACCCATTATCTCTTTGAATTGATCTAAAATCCATATCACATTGGCACGCTTTTCTTTTCGTGTCCACGCAAACATAACAGTTCGTCCTCGACCCCAATTATCTGTCACCACTAACTGGAATAACGAATATCTACATAGTAAAATACAACGAAAACATATTCACTTTTTATTATTAGTATTATACGTAGAATCAATGCACAGAACTTCTGGATATTTCCTGTACAGCTGTATTTGGTCATAACTACAGAAACATATTCTCGTGGCATATCCATTTTCTAAATGTTCTCTCACTTCGCCTTTTTGTCTCAGCATATCCATTAGCTGCTTCCGAGTACAACAACCTGAAATATATTTATATACACTTAGCAGTGGAGAGTTCACCTTTCATAGCTTTGACATCGGAAGCGGTTACCTGCTTACCAGTTCTCTCCTTAATACTTTCGATAACTTCATCTGCTGACTCACAGTGCAATATTACTGGCTTCAAGTTCTCTTTTTCTTCTGATGACACGGTTTAAACCGTAATTGCCAATCTAAAATGCGTGTAAAACTAGAGGAGCAAGGATATGTCATCAAAACCTACAACATGCTTCACAATCATCCATGCAGTAGTTCATGGATGGTATATAATCCATGGACAAGAAGATTGTCATCAGAAGAAAAAAAGAACTTGAAGCCAGTAATATTGCACTGTGAGTCAGCAGATGAAGTTATCGAAAGTATTAAGGAGAGAACTGGTAAGCAGGTAACCGCTTCCGATGTCAAAGCTATGAAAGGTGAACTCTCCACTGCTAAGTGTATATAAATATATTTCAGGTTGTTGTACTCGGAAGCAGCTAATGGATATGCTGAGACAAAAAGGCGAAGTGAGAGAACATTTAGAAAATGGATATGCCACGAGAATATGTTTCTGTAGTTATGACCAAATACAGCTGTACAGGAAATATCCAGAAGTTCTGTGCATTGATTCTACGTATAATACTAATAATAAAAAGTGAATATGTTTTCGTTGTATTTTACTATGTAGATATTCGTTATTCCAGTTAGTGGTGACAGATAATTGGGGTCGAGGACGAACTGTTATGTTTGCGTGGACACGAAAAGAAAAGCGTGCCAATGTGATATGGATTTTAGATCAATTCAAAGAGATAATGGGTAACACAATGTTGACAGAGACATTTGTGAGGGATTGCGCACGATGTGAAAGCGCGACTGTCTATATAACACACGGACATGCAAACATCATTCTGTGCGCCTTTCATGTAATTTGCGCTTTCCGGAAAAAGGTACACCAATGGTTTCTTATATAAAATTGCCCTTAGACAAACGACAAAATACTGAACGTACTTAACTCGATTGGTAACTGCGGAAACGGTCGGAAGGTAATTTTTGTAATGTATTTATTCACTAGATTTAATCAATATTACAGAATAATAAACCGGAGGGACAGAGTGATAGTAGGCCAGTACCTATCACGTTTTTGGATGCCACGTAAGACAATGTGGGCGCGTGCGTTTTACGGTAATGTTTTAACATTGGGTAACAACACGAATAATCGTGTTGAATCGCTAAATAGGCAAATTAAACGATATGTACGAAAAAGTGATAGTCTGTACAAATGTATGTACAAGGCTTTAAAATGGAGTGAAATGATGTCAACTAGAAGAAGTATCGAAGATCAAGTGATAGTCGGAAGATCTTATAAATATAATGCTCCACAGCGTCTTATACCCCTGTTAAACATTTTGACCCCATTCGCAAGATCTAAATTGTTATACGAACTTAAACAAATGCGTTTCGTCTACGTGGAATATGAAAGCGGCGACTGGTTGTTCATGGTTGACCGCGGACAACATTATGAAGTGGATATAAGCATTTGTCAATGCAATTGTAGCACGTTTATGATGGGTCGATATCCCTGCCGTCACATGATACTTGCCTACGTTAAAAGACGGAATCTTACAGGTAAGCTATATCAATTATGAAATACTAACTGCATAGCTCATCAACTTCTTAGATATTGCAACAAATAGAAGTTACATATTACGCATAACTCAATATCACAGTCAGAAATATTACAATTGAGTTATCCAACATGTAACTGACCTCCATATTTATGTTAAGAACAAACTTTAAAATGTTCTAACCGCAAATTTACGCTAAACAACAAATAATTAAGCAGAACAAAAAGGTTATATCGATAATTTAAGCATGATCAAAATAATATCCTGATTATGAAACTAATTGAAAATGTAGTGAAATGCATTTAGTAAACAACACAGATCACTCTTTGTCCTCTTTCTTAGCTTTCGTCGATAATGAATGAAGTTATAACAACTGTGATGAAATTTCAGTTAGTTACTAGGTAATCAGAAAGCAGCTTTTGTAAATGGATAGGTTATGGTAAAGAAAACAATAGCACTGGAAAGTGTACACAATTTCTGTGCATTTGATAAATCTATTCAAATTATTATAGTAGTTACTCGGTAAACTGAAAAATCAAAGTCATATACATCCATCCTTGTGGATGACTCAAAAACCTCTAAATTATTTATGATTAGCGTAAGATATTCATGGTTAGGACTGGCAGTCACGAGTTTGCATCAGATATAATACAAATATGGATGACAGAATTCCATTCATGCAATAGGCCATAAAATATAGTGTCAATAAGTGAATGTTTGTTTCAGCATTAAAGGTTTAAGATTAGAATGTAAGGAGTGTTGGTTTTCTCGTTATTTACACTGTGGCCAGAATTGATATTTCGTTATGAGTTTGATTAAATACAAAAGTATGTCTAATATTAGTGATACGTGATTAATGAATGTTGCACAAAAACCTACAACTCATGCTCTAGTGTTATAATCTCTTTCTTACGGTATGACCAAGCTATTCCTATTGCTTAGTAGTCTTGGACACCAAATCACTCGACAAGTCCCCAAATCAGAACACGGTTGAACAGGAAAGAGATTGTATTCCAAAAAACAAGGTTAGGTGGAAGCCAATCAGCGCGCACTGAAGCAATCGTGCATTGAGCATGCTTTAATCCAGTCTATGTCCCGCTAACATCTCGATTTTGATTGGCTTTTCCTCATACTATATTTATAGTTTGAGCTATGTTGATGGGCGTAGACTACCTGGTTGAGATAAGAGTGACTAATGTGACTAATGGTTGGAGACATTGCTAACATGGCTCACAATCAGTGGAGACAGTGATGGGATTTATCTTGATAATTTCATCTTGTTGCGTTGATATGATCTGGTAAGCTGAACCGATATACGCTTGTGCTAAGTTCTACGTTGCTTGTGATAACTTTTTGCAACAAATATGATTTGAATGAATAAAACGAATGAAAACAAAAAAACAATATAACTCACTCATATTTGTGGTTGATTTAGTCAAACCTATATCTTTTATCCATAATATAAATGTAGCCAAATTGCCTTTGTTCAGTAGACGATCATTATTATTTTCACCATAGCTGCTAAAAGAATCATCATCATCAATTGAATATTTGGTTGCTGCAATTTTGGGCGCCCGTAAATAGAACTAATGCGGTAAATTATTTCATTTGGGATTACACATTGCCTCAGCTAAGTGACTTCTCCATTCTAAACCACTTTTTACTATTTCATTATAATCTAAGCTGGTTAAATAACCACCAATCTGTTCAGGATCCACATGATTTTCATTGGATATTCATGTTACATGAGCTATTTAGAAGGAGATACAACATTTGTAAAATGGAAATATAATGATGATAATAATAAAACCAATAGTCCGACAGTCAATTTAAAGTCTGGCACAAACGCTCGTTGGCGCCAGATACCATTGGCAAATCGAGACGAATAGGTAAGGAGTTGAAATAACTGTAGTAGGAATGATAATGAAAAGACTAAACACTGAAACCATAGTTCAAAAAGGCAGAATGAATGGCAAAACGTACGACGGAATAATGAAACTCCAGATCTAGAGGAGGACAGAGTGTAAATGTATATGTGC